ATTATTACCATCAATGTCTCAAAGCCACTGGTTTTCTACTTGGTATTATTTTAAGCATAAAGGTTTCCCTAAAAAGCATTATGACAGTTTGAAGATTACTTAATTTCTTTATCCCCCAAAAACTGTTCAACTGGTTTTAATGTGAATAAATTCCTAAGCAGCAACACCACCATTACCCATCACATAGTGAGTACTGTGACATTAAACTTTGTGTATATTTAATGACAGCTACACTGTGAAGGCAGTATTTACTTTTTCCATTTTAGTGATAAGTTGGTCAGAAACAGTGGGCATTAATGACTTTCAATACTTTTGAAAAGCAATATCTAATCTTAATATCTACCTGTCCCTTCACAGTGATTTCAGTATCTTAGGGAAAAGGTCATTTTACTTTATTGCATTTTGTAATAATCAACCAAGAACTAAGTACTTAGAAGCAGTACAATAATTATTTGCCAAAATAAATTTTAAAAAATATAAAAGACCAAAGCAAAAAGGTTGCTACCACCAGTTTGCAAAGGATATTTGCTATCATGTTTAAAAACTTAGACATGTCTAAAGATATTTGCTATTATGTTTAAAAACTTATGTGTAAGTGTTTTTAAACATAATAGCAAATATCCTTTGCGAACAGGTGGTAGGCAACCTAAGTGCATGAAAAATTACATGCATTATCAATTAAGGTATTACTGTTTCAATTATTCCAAGTTTTTCCAAGTCGAGTTTGCTTACTACTAAGTTCAACAGATTCTGAAGAGCAAAGTTTATAAAAAGTTAAAATGGATTCCACCTTCTCAGAAAATGTTACAAATTCGACTGTCTGTACTATTGATGTCAGATTTTCAATTACTATGGTCTAACATATGAAGTCTCAACAAACTGTAGGCAATAACATAACCATATTGTTAGCAGGAAAATATCGTATTAGTAGACAAGTACGTCAAATAAATTACATTATATTAAAAGTTAGAAAGTAGTGTCAGTATGCATTGTTTCACGACATTTGTTTATAAAGTATTTGTATGACAAGATCATGTCCTAAATCAAGTCCCTCTGTAAAACGCTGAAGATAGAAGCCGAGACAAACTGTACACTTAAAGTGTCAGAACGATTCGCTGTAGAGTTTTTGTGGAGGTTACCACGGTAACGAAATTTCCTGCCTGAGGGAAAAAGCCTGTAACTAGTCTTCTTAAATCCCATACTGCAATTCCCACCCGTAACTGCTCCAATGAAGAGGGCAGGTCCAGGGTTTGACTTATCAATGTTTTATCCCTTACACTGAACAAAGTAAATGACAAAACGTTTATATGCACCGGCTTCGATCTACTCAAGCGCCTAACCTATGAATAGATACAAAAAATAAGTAAGTAAATAAATAAAGACAACTGTTGGGTAATGGCCATTCAGTAACTCTGAACTTATTCAGATCCCTAACCTCGGAGATGAGTCCGCGAAAGCGTCGAACTTCCATATCTCCACACACGGGTCAAGGGAGGCACGTAGCGGCCATTCTTCCCTCCCCTTCTCACTATCCCTTTCCGGCTCTTCTGCGTCACAAAACTTTCCGCTCCGGAAACACAGCCTCGTCATCCAGAGACCTAGAGGCAGGAAACCTCCGGAGAACAAGATTGCTGCTTTGTGGTCTCTTATCGTTAGCCGCCTGCTCAAGTCCCGCAGGACCCGGCCTTCTATTAGTTGACGGCCGCGGTACACAGCCGTGCCGTCCAAACAAAGGAGACCGCCGCCATTACCCCAAGAAAGTCCCACTCCTCCCCCACCACACATCCCGTGGGTGCAGTCCGCCTTCCGCTCCCACACAAACAACGCCTGTAGGCCTGAATGTAGGCTGTCCAGTAAGAACCAAACCCGTCGACACAAAGAATAGTCATCTTTGGTGTACTTCCATCTAAACACTAACCAGTCACTGTTCTCACATGTACCTCTGCAAGACCACACAAATACACAAAAGCCGCCATTATGCATGGCCGGAGACCAATACCTCAAGCCAGGCCGGAACCCGGCCCAAGTTACAATACCAGTTATCGCTAATGCCTCGTCCTTTTTCCACGTAGCCTCCACAAGAATTAACCTAGTTTCTTTCCCCAACAGCCAACAGTCCCACCCACCGCAAACCACACTGAATCAGGAAGAGAGAAATTAAAGTGTCTATTGACCCGCAACATACGTTAAAACAGGGAAAGGGGTCCACACATAGTTTCAATAAGCACATTTAGGCTTACCTGCTGGTCCAGACCAAGCGCATTTTCCACCGCCACATGACTCATGCCTGAAGCGAATCGAGGACGCGGAGACTCAGTGCAGATCCAGCTTATGAAGATGTCAGGGGACCGCTCTCTGAAGTACAGAGCTTGGCAACTGCCGTAATATACGCACTTCACGGCTTTACGTCAGCACGTAAAGCTCCACCTTCCTCCTTTGCCCACTGCTCCAACTCCTTTGTCTCTACCGTTACCTCTGCCTGACCTAACTCGCGTTCGTTTAATCATAACATCGCGAGATATTCTACGAAGTCCGGCGCTCAAACGCTCTCAAAATGCGCGAGAATTTGTTTTCCTCGCGCCCTTCTGTAATGTGTAGGAATTCTTGAAAATTTGAGAGAACTCGCAGTCTCCCGCGCGCCACAGATGAGAAATCTTACAGAGCCAATATACTCCTTCTCTCTCCCACGCTCCTCCACACCTTCTCGGTTTTCCTCCTTTCTCTACCGCTTTCCCTTTATCTTCTCTTTCCGTTCCAGGAATTATAAGTTTCATAAAACATCTCTTTTATAACTAGCCCTTACATGCCTTTGGAAAGCCCCCTAAAGCAGAACTAGTCAAAAAAAGCACAAAACCGAAAAATGTTGAGGATCACGTGACCCCAAGCATCAACCGCGTTGCGCATGTTGTAGAGTTGTCAACGGTGGCTCCAGTAGAATCCTCCGTCTGGGGAGGCGAAAAAACACGAGATTGACAGACGAACTCACCCAAGAGTGGGCGGAAACCGGAGCAGGAAACCGCAGCACAGCCGGCGGCCACAGCTGCCGGGTGTGAATGGCTTAGGCTGCGGGGGTTAAGCCAGGAACCCCACGCCCCTCAGGTTTCCTAGTGGGCAGTGTCGGTTTCATGCAGACGCGGCCTCCGCGTCACGTGGTGAGGGAACAGTAAAACAATTATACACTGAATGACGCTAATGATAACTCACCTTGCTGAAGACATCCTTTGCCCCACCTCTTCCTCCCACTACCCTCTCCCCGCCCCCGACCGCCACTCCAGCTATATTAATTAGCCTTTTTGTTTTCCCCATCGATCCACGTCGTCTAGTTAATACTGCTGCCTAAGCTCTCAGTGACCCTGAGGCTGCTAAGGTGGCTGGTAAATTGAAGAAAATGTGTTGCTGCCATCACAAGTATCACTTTTTATGGTCCTCTTCTAGGTGCTTTGGTCCAGATCCAGCACCACAGGCCTCTCTAATTAAAGATAACATATCGAGCGGCAGCATGTACACAGAATTCCTAAACGCTCCTCCATTTCTCTTACCGTTACATATAAAAGGATTTGCACCACGTTTATAGGCGCTCCTGATGTTGGGTTCAAATAACTTCATTCTCAAAACATTTAACACATAAAAAACTTTTCTGCTTTTCAGTTTCAAAATTTAAATACTCAAATGTGATTCAAACAAACAACTTCAATGCTTTGCCAACTTCAAAGTATCACCTGAAGTAGGTAACACCTTTATAGCAAATGTTTTCTAACAACACTTTCACCATCCTAAAATCAAATTCATAGGTGAACTAAGTTATACCCACCCATATACAGTTTCTCCCCCAAATGACCTAACACAAAGAACTGAAAGGGAAATCATATGTAATAAAATATTTAATAGGTAAATGTCCTTCATTATCTCACAACAGTCAAGTGCTGTCCCATTCAGCCACAATACAAATAAAATGTGTCCATATTTTATATATGCAGTGTTGCTCTTGATGGTAATATTTTCCAAAATGGTGGCAGTACAGTCTTGAATAAAAAATCTCAGTATGCTGACATTAATCAAAAATATTTTGCTTATATTAAAAAAGTTAAGTTAATGAAAAAAATTGGTTAGCATACCGTCTAGCAAACACAAAGGCACACAGAGGAGCTATACATAATGGAAAGCTTATACAGGCAGAAGTGTACAAAGTGGATTGTATCAGGCAAAGTCACCTTTTTTTTAATATTAAGTTTATTGTGGTAACATTGGTTAATACAATTATATAATTTTAAGCTGTATGTTATAATTTGACATCTGTATATTCTATTGTGTATTTACCACCCAAAGTCCAGTTTTCTTCAGCTACCATATATTTGATCCTCTTTGCCCATCTTTCCCTCAAAGTCACCTTTCTTTAGCAGACATAAAAAGAATTTGTCAGGAGAATAACCTCACTAGGACTGACCAAGAAATTTCAGACTGTCAGATTTAAATTACATTTCTGGGGGAGATTGAAACTAACAATTAGGTTAGGTATTAAGTCTTGATTTGATGATTTAGGCTTAACACAAGTGATTTTAAGTCTCTTGCCACCTTTTTAACAATATGTAAAGCAGAGTTCTGACAAACAGGATTTTCGCCCATGTGAATAATCCTTTGCAAAGAACTAGCCATTGCATTGTAGAACATCTAACATACCTGGCCCCAACCTACTAAAATGTTAGTAGCCCTTGCTGGTTCGTGACAACCAAAACTATTCATACAAATTGTTAAATGTTCTCTTGTAAAACACTAGTTTCCAGCTGTGATTTTTGAATTCATATTATGAGGCACTGGAGGTATCTTTGGTCTTGCTATTTACTTTTCAGGCAGACCAGGGTAAAAGCGAGATTCAGAAGCTATGAGTTCTGATAACTTCTATCTGTATGTTCAAATGAGCAATAATAGGACATAATTACCCAGTTTCTGAGCCTTATTTTACCTGTGAGTAGTGCTGACTTGCACGTACTGTCATTAGAGTACTTAGAAGAGGTTTTAAAATAGCAATTTTCTATTTTCAATGAATACTTGCTAATAGACATACTCAGATCCAAACAACTAGGGTGATTTGCTAATTAAAGCGTTATGACAATGTTAGAAAGGACAAGGGTCTCAAGGTCTGGGCAGTTCTTACTACACGATATTCTTACTAAATTTTAAAATGTAGCACAGTATTTTGCAGATTCAGCTATAATCAGATGAGCTTAATCTGAACTCAACAGTATAAATTTAGGCTCTGCAAAGAAGAAATCAACATGTAATTAGCCAAATAGCATATATATGCAATGGCTAAGCCTCCCTTAGAGCTTTGGATGTGAATCACAGTCTCCTTTATCAGTAAATAAAACCTACAAATAAATAAAACCATCTGGATCCCACTCCTGAATAGAGCATCGCAAGTAGAGAACTCCTTGAGTTTTGTAACAAATCTGGTGACTCGAATGGCATTCCCCTAAAAAGATTCCCACTTGGCCTGGTGTGCATACTTGACAAAGAGGTGTGGTAGCGGCAGCTCATCTGGGGCTTCTTAACAGGAGAGAGGATCTGTCCTACAGGAGATCCCCCACTTGGTGCTGACCACTGGAATGGCTTTCTGCGCTGCCTTGACAGCAAAGCAGATTGGTCACCTGAAACTGCTTCATTCAGTGCTTTAGAAGGGAAGTGAGTAGGTAGTCACTTTAATTAGTGTGGAGATAGAGTTTGGCATAATGTCAGAATGATAGCTTCATTTCTGGAATGTGCTTAGGTTCTGGGACTTTACAGGGGAAAAAACCCTTTGTTGGTATATTGACAGAGGGAATTTTAAGAGGAATTAAAGACAAGAGCCCTAAAACATCCCTGGGCCCTATTTAATTCAGTACTTTCCAGTAGTCACCCTAGGATTCTGTTACTTACCTTTTTGGTGACATACGAGTCTTTTCTTCTTACGTTAAGACCTCTTAATCAGGAAACAAGAACAGAATTCACCGATTTAATGGAATAGTAAACCCACAGAATTTGGCTCCATTACAGCAGCAGGTTTTAGAAGATAAATGTAAAACCCTTAAACTATTACTCGTGGGCTAGCCAGTGTTGGGTTATCTGAGAGGTTAGAAATATCTCTTATGAAAAATAGGAAATTATAATTCCAGAGTTTAGTCCCCTCGGATACACCCTGAAACATTGGACACTTTTTGAATATAAGAGTTTCACAAAGAAAAACAAATTTTCTCATGCAATATTGCAAGTCCCTAACATGTTTTAGGGACATGTCCAATGTTTAGGGTACCAAGAACATTGGCCTAAAAATTGCTCTTTAAGTGATAATACAATGTCACAATTGGTGGAAAAATGGAATGAAATTACATGCATTCAAAATTTTGGTATTATATCAAAATCCCATCCTATTCTGCTCCCTTCCCCCCGCCAATATATATAGAGAGAGAGCAAGGGAGAGAGAGAGAGAGAGAGAGAAAATTCCACATTGTCTAACTGAGTACTGGGCCCTATCAGTCTCCATATTAGCTGTGTAGAGAGGGAGGGAGAGAGAGAGAGAGAGAGAGAGACATAGTATAGAGGCATTTGAAACTAAGCTGTCAGTCAGACCTTAAGGGCCTCTCAGAATACCTTCTTGATTTCTTGCCCTCAGGCTCCCCCAAACATGGGAATCCTGCCTCCCTCCTGGGGAGGTCTGTTTCTTCTAAGCTCCTTTTGGTTCTCTATTCCAGTTATTAGCCTCCTAATTCTTTTGTTTTCTCTAACCTGTTAAGGACACCTTTGAAAACTTCCCTAGAACAAGGAGATAATACTCCTACCTTGTAAGCCTCACTACCTGAGTCTACTACCCATCAAGGTACTGACTGGTTTTTACCCAGAGGCCAAACTGTGCCTCCTTGGAGGGGTTCAGGATGGGGAAGGGGTAACTGCACATGTTCCTTTCTTGACATCAGCTCTATATAACTGGAAGGCTTTGGGCTAGTCTGGACGGAGAGCTTATTAGCTTGCATAATGGTATATTTATATTCATGATCCATAATCTCACTTGCAGAGATGTTCAGTTCCTCACTGCCAAGGAAAAAATTACCAAACAATTAAAAGCTGAGAAAGAGGCTAATGATAACATGTTACTCAGTATAATAATCAGATCTGGCAGCCAGTAGATGAGTCAGTTCACAATACTGAGTGGGAACCCAATGACAAAATAGACAGGGGTCGCATTGAGTATCATAGGAGCCTAAGGCCATGGTTGCTACCCTGAAAATTGGGTTAAAGTTAGAAACATTGATCAAGAAGCCAATGAGAACTCTTCAGCCTTCTTTGAAAGTTTAAACGCACACTTAAGACAAAACACCACATATACCCTAAGGACCCAGGGAGTAACACAACCCTGAATAACTTCTTCATATCTCAGAGTTCTTTGTATATCTGTAGAAGTTACCAGACAGTGGTGGAACCTACCACCCACACCTCCCAATTGGTAAAAGTGGCCTTTGGGGTTTTTAAGAA